CCTGCCTAAATTTAGCGGTTGTTAAAAAACTCCGAGAGGAATTTCATCCTCACATCCTTAGACAGCCTCAATTTCTAAATATACTGAAAACGTTGTTGTTGTATATTGTTGACCTGTTATATTTATTTTACTTATTTGGTTAATTGCTTGGCTTAAGGTCATTAAAAAACTATGTTTTATTTTTGAATTTTTCCTTTTTTATTCATCCAATATTTCGATTTCCTCCGGAAATCATCTTCAGGGATATTTTTAAAGTAAAAAGCTCGTCTATTGAGTTTGATAGTGACATTTAAACTCAATAGACGAGCTTTTTACTTTAAAAATATCCCTGAAGATGACTTCCGGAGGAAATCGAAATATTGGATGAATAAAAAAGGAAAAATTCAAAAATAAAACATAGTTTTTTAATGACCTTAAGCCAAGCAATTAACCAAATAAGTATACTGAAAACACTTACAATTTAAATCTCTAAATTCAAAGAAAAGGAGATCTTAATGAGTCAGCTTTCACGGCCATATTCATAAGATAATACCAATAACATTAAGACTTCCAAGCCTTGTTTTGGTCACATGGTAAGTACCAAGTCTTAACATCAAAGCAAACAGGTGGAAACTAGAAGTGCTCTTAGGACTACGACGAAACACACACGAAAATGCATATCCGAACCATTTGAGGGATCAACTATTGGAAAAAAATGCAGAATAGTAACCAAGTGCTCCACTGCATACGTCCCTGGGACAATGTACCCTGATCATCTTCGATTAGGGGGCATAAACCCTATTAGGAAAATAATCACCATTTTATTTATATCCAACCTCAAGTGCCGCTTCTGCACTTCCCTGAACCATCTTCCATAGATGAATATGATCCTAAGAAAGAAAATTAACTTAAGTTGGTTACTTTTAAGGGAGGCAGGATGCGAGGGATTTTCGAAGCCTCTGAGAAGGATGAAAGCTATCGGCTTCGTAGAGTTGAAGGGGATTCGTTTTAGGTTGGTATTGCTGAAATGTGAAGTAAAAAGGTGGACATCTGAAGAATACAAGTCAAGTCCAGACATTAATGTTTTGATTGATTACTATATTTGTTTGTATGGAGGTTAATAGAAAAAGCTGTCATTTGGCTCCCATTTTCGCAATCTGTCAACACTCACACCAAGGATAACGTACAAAGACCACTTGGCGATCGGCTGCAACGACATAATAGCGAGTGCACATTTGATTTCATTTTAAAATATAATCGCAGACTATGTCTAAAGGAAACGATGAAACCTTTGAAAGATATGTGAATGTCTACCTAACGCTAATAAAGAAGGATGATTTACCCATTGCAAATAAGAGGAATTCAAAAATAGAGGCCTATAAGATAAGATTTAGGGAAAATTTTGAAAAAGAAGGTATAGGTATATAGCAGATTTTTACCATGAACCCATACACGCCACGCGAGCGCTCTGAAATAGTTGAAATTTACAAGAAGTCAATTGTGAAAACTGAACGTGCTTTTAAAATATTAAAAAATGTGAGAAGTGCGCCTTCTAAGAACACCATTAAGCGCTTATACGAAAAATTTTCGACTGGTAAGGCTCTTTCTAATCCGAAGAGGCCATATAAAAGTCGACCAAGGCGACCGGCCGAGAATATCGCTGCCGTACGAGCCAGTGTTGAGAGGTCCCCAAGAACATCCCAAAAACGCTCGGTCCACTTTACAACGGATTATTCGCATTGATTTGCATTTGTTCCCGTACAAAATGCAATTGACGCAAAGAATGTTGCCTGCGGACAAGCCTCGTCGATTGGAATGGGCCCAAAGGGCCCAAAGGTCCGTCGAATATGGGCAAATATACATATTTTTTTGTAAAGGATGAGTTCGGGAAATATGGTTAAAGTCCTTCATGTACCTCACAAGAAAGGGTCAACATCAGCAATAGAAATAACTTATAAAACTTGCAATTAATCACCTCGTATTATCCTAACAGAAGATGAAGTTTTTTCTGGGTTAAAAGCATTACGTTCTTCGTTCTCCCCTGGTCCTGATGGCGTTCCAACGTTTATTCTAAAATCTTGTGCTGATGTGCTTCACGTGCCGCTCACTAACATTTTTAATTTTTCCCTAATGAAAGGTTATTTTCCGTGTTACTGGAGGTCGAGCTTTGTCATTCCTCTTCATAAATCAGGAAATAGGAGTTTAGTCGATAATTATAGATGTATCGCTAAATTAAGCGCTATTCCCAAACTCTTCGAACTTTTAGTTTCGCGTAGGATATCTCACTACCTAAAATCTATAATTTCACCTTTTCAACATGGATTCATGAAAGGTAGATCTACAATAACTAATCTCTTAGAATTTGTTTGTCATGTACATAGCGGTTTTGTTAGTAAACAGCAGACTGATGTAATTTATACGGATTTTAGCAAAGCTTTTGATACGGTAGTGCACAAGTTATTGCTCCTTAAATTAGATCTAATGGGTTTCCCAACATCACTGTTAAACTGGATATCCTCCTATTTAGAATGTCGCACCCAAAAGGTTCTCTTTAATGATACATCTTCGAAAAATATTTATGTTTCATCTGGTGTACCGCAGGGAAGTCACTTGGGTCCACTACTATTTGTTTTTTACCTGAATGATCTTCCGAAAATTATTCGTTTTTCTAAAATTCTGATGTACGCTGATGATGTGAAACTGTTTCTTCACATTGACTCACTTAACGATGCAATTTCATTACAATATGATTTAGACACCTTCGTAAATTGGTGTAGTGCGAATGGTATGTCTCTTAATCTAAAAAAATGCAAAAAATTGTCGCTATTTCGAAATCAGCCATTACTATCTAACTATTATATTGGCTCTTATAAATTGGATAATGTTGAATCTTTCGTTGATTTGGGCGTAATCTTAGATCCTAAGCTACGGTTTCATTTACACATTGATTCTTGTGTTAATAAAGCTAAATCTTTACTAGGCTTTATCAAGCGTTGGTCAAAAGAGTTTAATGACCCTTACGTAACCAAAAGATTGTTTGTTAGTCTAGTTCGTCCAGTATTAGAATATGGTTGTATATTATGGAGTCCATTTTATAAATATTATTCTGATAAAATTGAATCGGTACAAATTCAGTTTTTAATTTTCGCTTTGCGTGGTTTAAATTGGAACCCCTCTGAACTTCTTCCGCCATACGAGAGTCGTTTAATGTTAATCGATCTTCCATCTCTTGAAAAAAGACGTTTTATGTTAAGAGCATTATTTATCATAAAATTATTACGTGGATTGATTGATTCCCCTTTTCTCACTGGTGAAATAAACTATAATGTTCCCTTTCGTAGAACTCGCAATTTTGAACCGTTAAAATTGTCCATAGCAAGAAGAAATTATGAACTTAATAGCCCACTGAGATCACTTTGTGTAATTTATAACAGTTTATGTAACACTATTTGCTTATATAGTCCCTTGAACACAATAAAAAATGTATTCTGCATATGTAATTTTTGTTGTGCTATGTCTATGCTAATATTTTGTTTTTGTAACCTTATATTTATGTCTTCTTAACTCTATAAGCTCATTTTTACGGCATATTATCTACAACTCCCTCCGCGGAACCAGTAGAACTTCGCCTTTGAGCACCAGTTGTACATGTTATATAATGTTTGTTTTACTTCATCAAGCTGCTTGATCATCTGGCATCTGATCTACAATCCCTATGCGGAACAGTAGACGTGGCCAATGCGCAGTGCTTGTAGATTGTTGCTTTGTAAATTTATGTTTACTAATCTGTGTGTGACTTTTAAAATGTCTTTTGTATTTTAACCACTGGCTGATGTAGTTTCTGTAGCCGGTGTAAAACCATTGCTAACCCGCCTTGGTCCGGACTTTGGTGTGTACGCGCTCTCTACGTTATAGGGAGGTTGCCCCCTCGGTCGGCAGGGGCGGGTGTGAGAGGCGTGGGACCGAACGACAAAAAAAAAAAAAAAAAAAAAAAAAAACATACTTCAGACCTTGTGTATGCCAATATTTTTTCAAATTCATTGCCATATTGGTCCACTACTTTCGGTATCTCCTCCACCAATGTCCACTTCTTAATACTCACAACGAACTTATGTCAACTGCGAAAAATTGCAATATCGGTCTATTTCTTCTGGTACCTCCCTTGCAAACGAGGGACATTTATAAAATACGCTATTATTCGCGATTACCTTCATCTTAATGCCCGTGAAGATAAATTTTAAAATATAAATGCAATGTGTTGGTGCGCAAGGGGTTAATTGAAAATAGTTTCTTTTAATATTTATGATTTTTATCAATTTTTGCAAAAATATAAATATATAATTTTTTTAATTTTATTTTAATTTTTACTTCTATCGAAACCGCCACTTTGGTTAGAAAATCGAAAAAATTCGGTTATCTAAAATCAGTTGGGAATATAAGACATATATAGCCAGAAAGTACTCCTCGAGACCTTTCATTTAAGACCCGTCTCAATTACGCAGCTAGCATAGTTTTTGTGCAATTCAGCATTTTCCATGCAGTTTCCCTACCGCCAACACCACTCTGGTTATTCGTCCTCGTCGGGAAATTGTGTCATTTTCCTGTTAAATTAATTTAATTAATTAATTTAATTTAAATTAATTTAAAAATACGTTGATTTATCAAAAAAAAAATGGTAAAAATCATTAATATTAAAAAAAACTATTTTTCAATTAACCCCTTGCGCACCAACACATTGCATTTATATTTTAAAATTTATCTTCTCGGGCATTTCATCTTTTACACATTTATATATTTCTCTCAGCATATATCTAAAGTAAGATGGGGTATATCGGTCTACCCCTCCCCACAAAAGGTCCATATTGTTGAAGAATAAAAAGAAGAAAAATAATATTTTTTAAATATATAAAATTAGTGTCCCATTTTCTTGATCGTTCTTAAATTTCATTTTCCCATCCCTGTTTCGTATAAAAATGATGATCTTATGATCATATTTTTTTTAAAGACTCAAAGACACTTACCTTAACAATTAAGTTCTTTGTAATTAATTCGTCACTTTTTGAACTTGGGCCAGGCAGACAGACAGGCACACAAAATTCTTATTTTTTTTTATTCAGACATTCAAGAAGATTTATTAGACGCACATTTAAAACTGAGAAAGAGCGAAGCTCGCTAGGGTCTAGATATCTACAGATATGTGGTCTTTGTACTTTTTATGCTCAGGATGGTTTATTTTGTTTGTTACAAAAACAACAAAAATTGCTGACATTAATTTTTTGTATTCTGATTCAGCTGCTTTTCTTTTTTTTGTAATTTATACCATACAAGAGACACAGATGACAACAAAAACAACAACGAAGAAGAAGATGTCGAATAAAGAAACCTCTTTTGTTTAAGTTGAACACAAATTTTTAAATGGATTTTTTTGCAATGACGAAATTGTGTACTTGTTTCTTTACACAGAGGGAGAGAGGGGGATCACATAGTGACTCAAACACTCAAATGACACAAATCTTAAAAGACCCGCAACAATTTCCACTCAATAATAAAACTCTCTGATTTTATTCGGCGGCTTCAGTATTATAATGCACAAAAGATGTCTTCTAGTTTTGAAATTTGTAAAATAACTGTGTTTTTGAATTTAAATACCGCCTCCACTTCACTTCCACGATGGAGACAAATGCTGTAACCGTTGTCAATGGTATTGTTGTTGTTGCTATTGTTACTACCGAACTCGAAACTATTTAAAATATTTAGCTTTGTTTAGTTCCACGCTCCGCTGAATTTGTGTAACTCAAAGAAGGAGATTCGCGTTTAAACTTGGAATAAAATTCATGACGTAAACCGGCGAACAGCCAACAGCTGAATGACACCAGCAGCAGCCGTTTGTAATGGCAACAGCTACACTACCTACAAATGCAGTCACCGTCAACAGCAGAACCACCACCACCGTCATTGCTATCCCATCCATCCACCAGTAAAAGCAGTTAAGAAAGCAAAACGATCAGTTATCATCATCGTCGTCAACACAGTGGAACGAACCAGATACTAGAAACCCAGAGGGAAAATTCTCTTTAAAAGGCCTGGCTAAAAAGGTGCAACAATTGATGGGCAGACAGACGGACAGACAGACAGACAGAAATCCAGATGATATTTCAAGAAACAACCAGAAAAAGGAACAACAGCACATGACACACCACACACACATGCATATGCATAGGCGTCGTATCACACACACACACTATACACCCAAACAACGGTGATGATAAATGACCATAAGAAAACGAAGGTATTTTCCATCAATGGAGGCTGTTAGGGAAAAACTAATTTGTACGACAAGGTTTCCCCATTCCAATATCGAAATTTCTTTCTCCGAATAATTTCTCTTTCAAAACAAAGGAAGAGAAAAACGCAGCAGCGCAAAATTTTCGCTGATAACGAATAGAGGACCTTTTAAATAACACAAGGAGAGGAAAACACAATAACAACAAAGGTTGCACAGGCGCAATATAAAATTAATACAAGGTGGAATTTAACAACCCTTACTTTTTGTGGTGTATATGAAAACCCAAAATACGGGGACGTGCACAAACACAATCACACATGCCGACACCCAGCAAGCATTTTTTGTCGCTGACATAACTAAAAAGTCACCAACAGGCGATGAAAACCCTCGCCGGCGATCTCGAATCTTTAACCAAAAAGTTAAACCGTTCGGGAAGAAATGAACCACGCACTCGTTACTTCTTAACATTGACTTTTTAGTGGCAGATGAAATTGACGACTAAGTAACGTTCAGTCGTTACAATAAAGGCAATTTAAGGAAGTAACGAGAGCGTGGTTCATTTCTTCCCGAACGGTTTACCTTTTTGGTTAAAGATTCGAGATTGAAGGCGTGGGTTTTCATAGACTGTTGGTGACTTTATTGATTTGTATGCGATATGCAATGCCTTCAGAAAGTAAAAAAGAGCTGGAAGTCTTTAAATTAAAATTATTATTTGTTTAACTTTATTAATATAATTTCAAATAAATAAGCGTAATTAAACAATAGGTAAAACGCATACAAAAAGCATGAGCAAAACACAGTTATTAATACAAAATTTAATTTTATTTTTTCACTAAATAATATTAATCATTTTTTTTTTTTTTTTTGTATATCACTTCGTTTTTAATTTTTAAAAAATTATTTGAACACATATAATAAAAAATACTGAAAAAAGTCACAATTAATTTTTACTAAATAATTTAAATATATTTTTTCATTTAATAGTTTTTTTTTCACTCGTGCACCAATGCTGATCTCCGACAAACTGAACTCGTTTAATTTTGTTCTCCGTTTTGGGAGTAAAACAAAACAATCGCTCTTTAATCTACGGGAAGTGCCAAAAAAGTTACTATTGGAGATGAAAATTAGTTGACTGTAGTGGGGCAATAGAATTGTTATTGCAAATCGGCCAACTATCGACGTTTCACAAGCAGGAAGCGACAAAGTAGTGTAATATTAGGTGATGGAGTTAAAAACTCACATCCAAATGCTTGCAGGGCACTATCGTATAAACCCTTTCTCATCGACAGGCAAGCAATCTTTAATCTTTTTCAAATAAAGAAAAGGTCATTGAACACTAGGCCATGTAGCGTTAAAACAACAACAATCAGACCTTTTAAAGGACGATGGAGAGAAATAGAAGGAAGAAAAGTAAAAGACGGACTTTTATGTTTTACATAGATGGGAATATTCCAAAAAAAAAACCTCAAATAATAATTGCATTTGTATGAATTCAGGATAAATGGTATAATAATTTTTACCCATCACCAAGTTCTACGGAATATTGATTTATTGGCACCATTCCATTGCAAAGTGGTCGCTGCTATTGGCCAAAATTCAAAAAATGAAAATCAGATATTTATTGTCAAATGTGTACAAATGAACTCTTAAGGGGTTAAGCTTTTTAGAAAACATAATAATCTTGGCTTCATTCTAACGGGACACTTCGAAAATAGCATCAAAAAAGAGAAAATGTAGTTAGTTCTTTTTTTCAGTGGGATCAGAGAAAAAGTGGAGTAAAAATAGAACTGTATTAAAAAATTAAATTCATTTTAAAATTACAAATCTTGGCAATATTTTTGAAAAGCAAGGTATTAACTTATTTTTAGTGCAGTAATTTGTGTGTTTAGTATATGTGTATAATATAGAAGATGTGAGTGTTCTGAGTTGCCTTTAAGATTAATTTTGAAAATAAAATTGGATTTCAGTTAAAGTTTTAATTGTTTTCCCCCCTGAATCCTCCAATGTGTTTTTTTTTCACGCCATTAGTAATGGTCCTAAGATTCTAAAAGTGCTAATTTACTTTCAGATTTTGTCAGATGTGTACGTTATGCCCAATATACTGAAGTGACTTCGCTGCAATTTTGTCAGTTCTATGGTGCTAGTGACATAGAATATGTTTTTGTTGTTAGGGATTGATAAGGATGTAGTTGAGGGGTGTTCAATAATGTTGCAAGCATTGTCCTCTGGGTATAATATTTATGTCCAAAAATTTAAGGCCTTTGCACTGGATACTGCTAAAGAGTTAACAAATTTATATCCATGGCACTATTTTCCAAGTTTCGACTAAATCATGCCCGAAAAAATTCTCGTGTTTCAACAAACACAGATCTTATTAACCGTCTTCTTCTGAGCTCTGATCGTTTTATAATGAGACAGCGAACGTTACCAAACAATAACCAGTAAAGAAAATCTTAAAGTCGAGCGGGGCCGACTTCATGATACCCTACACCACTTTGCATATTTAGCAGAGCGTCACATTACAAATAAAGGTTTTAATGCGGAATTTGTGAGAATTAAATCATACCAGCAATGCTTATATTAATAATTAAAAGTCCAAAGGAACTAATATATAGGAGGAATATCCTCCTCTGAATCGATTTCTATTAAATTTGTCGAGGCATTTGCGCCTTTTCAATTCGGGCTTGTATTATCCATTTGGTGCACAATTAACTTGAAATCGGATAGATATATATGAGAGCTATATCTAAATTTGATATGGGCTAATATTACACGTTTGGTGCACAATAAAAGGCAAATCGGACGAAGAAATATATTTGAGCCATGTCCAAATATTAACAGATCTCGATAAAATTTAGAAAGGGTATTTCTGAGTTATATTTGATATATTTCCCCAAATATCGTTGTCACAGAGTGCACATTACGGCTGCGGAGGACAAAAATAACAAATCGGATGAACAATATATATGGGAGCTATATATATATCTGAACCGATTTCGATCAAATTTGGCATACTTATTTTCAGGTCCCATCTGGACGTACGTATATTCCATACTATTTGGGCTGATATTACATGTTTGGTGCACAATATAAGTCAAATTGGATGAATATATATGGGAGCTATACCTAAATTTTGACCGGTTACATCCAATTTCAATAGGGCCTTAAGTCAAACTAATTATTTGTGCAAAATTTATCTTTGACTTAATTTTACATTAAATTGTTATTTTATTTTGTTTACAAAAAATGATCAAATTTATACTTGATTTGTATAAAAAATGCTTTTATTTTTGAAGGTACCTTACAAGGGACTCTACCTGCTGGCGGGCTGCTCCAAATAATTTTCAGTAAGATTATTTTTTAGCTCCTTAGAACGTTAAATGTCAAATAACATTACAATCTGGTGTAGAAATGTGACAAGAATTGGGCAAATAACCCTTATTCGGGAGGTACGTTATATGGGGACCATGCCAAAACATGCATCGACCATATCCATTTTGTCACATTTTTTATATTTATCCCATCAAGGTACCATAACCAAAGATTCATATTGATATCCGCACTGAAAGTATTTTTGGCCGCTGTTCCCATACGACCTCGACCACTGTGCATTGGGAGCTGAAACGGCTAAAGCTTAAATCTTGTATTTTTGCATGTTGCGGTATAGAGGTGAACTAAGGCTGAGTTTTTGGAAATTCGAATTATATATGTACCAAAAATTAAAAATAAACTACAAGCATACGAAAAGTACTAAATAGTACTTACTTTGCATTTGGGTGAACGAATATTGCTACAGACATGTCATTGTGTGTAAGGTTGAAATTTAGAGGTAGTCTTGGAAATACCTACTAAAAAAGTACAAAAAGTACTAAATTCAGCATAGAGAGTAGGAAAATACTAGTAAGAATCACTCACAGTGATTCTATGGCGTTGGGATAAGCAGATGGATTTGAAAATGTGTACTATGATGTGTACGAAAAATACTAAATGGTACTAAATATAATAGAGTGGAATGGAGCTGAAATTATGTGTGTCTAAATTAGGTTTTTGGAAATGCGCACTGTATAGTGTACAAAAAGTATTAAATTTGGTATAGAAAGTAGGAATTTAAGAAGAATTATGCATTTTGGTAATAGGATTCCCTAAGAGTGTGCTAGATTTCGAGGTGCCCGGACATAATCCCCATTGCAATTATAACCGGTTTTTCGATCATAACCCCCATAATAAAGTAGGGATTATGGCCGCTTCCACAACGGACATAATCCCCATGGGGATTATGATCGTTTGCTATGGGGTCTACATAAAAATTATTAATTTTAGTAAACTTGGTGTGGGAAATACTCAGTGGAGAATAGAAAATGAATCAAATTTAGAAAACTTTGGTTCGTGTTAGCTGTTTTTAGACATACTTAAAAGAGATAATATCAAGCCCCGACCAAAAGCCAGCTACTTACAAAAAGTTTAAAATTGATAAAGCTAAGATTGCGACTGCATACGTGGTCATGATGTGAATTTATTTTTATTTAGTACTAATTACCACTTTTCATCCGTATGGCCCAATTTTGATTCTTTCAAACATTTGACAAACTAAGTTATATGACT